TCAAGTGGTCAGTGTGACCACCGCAAAACGTGCCTTGGACTGGTCATGCTGTCTTTTGTGTGAGGCACCATAAAAGCTTCTTCGTGATGTTTGGGAAGTTTGCAGGTGAGTCCGAGTACCAGAAGTGCTTGGCGAAAGCCTTGGAGGCTGCCGTGAATGCCAGGAGGTTGCCCAAGAACTTCGAAGTCACGGAGCACTTCTGCAACATGGCATCGAGCCCTTGGATGGATGCACAGCTGACTGTGTGCCTGGACTTAAACCCTAAATCCTGACAGTCAGATCCAAGTGTGTTTGCAGCACGGTTTGCTAGCGTTCCTTAGCTTAGTTAAAGAGGTACAATGCCATCGTCCACGAGCAGCTGCAGCACATCCATCTGGCGGGCGGCAACCTCCATCCTGCTGCGGATGCGGGGCAGAGCTGCGGCAGGGGGAATGTGGCCGTGAACGGCTCCATCCCTTCTGTCTGCACCTCTTCCCGCATCTATTCCTTCCATCTTGGGAGGAGCCTTGGCTATTTCTTTTAGGGTTTAGGCCTTGGGCTATTTTTTTTAGGGTTTAGGGTTTAGGGTTTAGGGTTAAGGGCTGGTGCCTCAGGTTCTTCAAGGCGGGGGAGCTCATGAATGCCCTGGGGTTCCCATCCTACATCACAGACGGGCTGACGGAGCCGCAGGCGATGGGCTTGATCGGCCAAGCGATGGCGAGCACGTCGTTGACGGTCGTTTCTAGGTAGGGCTTTGGGACATTTTATAGTTTCTCTTATTGGGCTTAAGAGGATATTTTTTCAATAAAAGCTCCACCTAGGTTTTGCTGCCGGTAGTGAGAGCCCTGGGGTTCACCTCTCCGGCCTGAGCCGCTCCGATCACCCATCCAGGGCGTGGTATGAAAACAGCTGCGTGTCCCATCCAGTGTTCGAGCAGTGCAGACTCCAGTCCAGCTGTCATTGTGCATGTCTGGAGCTTTTGCTTTCTGCTTGGAGGCTCCGAAGCCTGCGCGGGCCCGTGGCCCAGCCAGAGTGGAAGTGCATTTGGAAGGCGGTTTGGCGAAATAGGCTTTCTATGGACGATGTGATTGCTTCTGACAGGAACTAGTGAGCTTTCTGAAGCCACTTTCTGACCACATCCATCTGGAGTGTTAAGCTGCTGAGAACTGTGTTTTTCATCATTGGGAGTGCCTAATATCTGAAGCTCACTGCTGCAGGCCATGCCATTCCTCACTACAGTCGCGAGGACCGAGGACCGGGGTTTCTGAGCGCTGAACAGCAGACAGGGAGGAATCTGTACATGGAGCCAGACGGTGGCTTTGCAATTCAAGTATGATTTGAGTAGCAGTTTTGGCCTGAGCAGGGTTAGGCCTCGAGGCACGCCAGCAAGCCTCCCATCCATGCCCCCGGCGGTGAAGATGGAAGTGAAGATGGAACCGGAAGTGAAGACCGAAGTTGGCAGCCCATCTCGACGATGTCGTGTGAAGACCGAGCCTGCTGCGGTGGAGCAGTCAAAGCAGAAGAAGAAACAAGTTGGGAAGCCATCTGCTTGGGAGGTTCGTGTGGCCAAGATCAAGAAGCAGATTCGCGATGAAGTGCGCAAGGAGCTGAAAAATAGCTACTCGCGCAGATTGCGCAAATTCAAAGTGCAGCAGCTAGCTCGGCAAGTGGCACTGGAGAAACGAATGGATACTTTGTCCAATCGAGTCCAAAGCTTTCTGAGCAAGATGGAGGAGGAGTACTTCTTCGGAGAGGAGTTTAGTGCTTCATCTGACTCCGAGACCGCATCCGAAGAACAGGATCCAGATTACGCCGAGTTCATCGATGGCATTGCTGGACCGGAACAGGTCAAGGAGAACACCGCCCCCATCCCAAACGACAGCTTGCCTCATCCGCCTTTCGAGCAGCTTGACGACGCGTGAATTGCTTCGCAGTCCAGAGTCGGTGAGACTCAAATTGGGGGAATTGGGGTCTGCTTCCATCCATGAAGCATTGACCGTGTAAGTTTTGTTTCATACATCCAGGACTCACGGCCGTGCATCAAATGTGACTGTTTCCTTCGCATGCCCTGGTACCGTTTGCAGGCATGGTTACAGCATGCAGCACTCAAGCTCAGTCCTTGCTTCAACCAGGAAAGCTGGGCGCAGATGGACCGTTCACCCCTCGGGCAGGTTTTCGAAGTGTATTGGGATTCACACAGAACCTTGAATATTTATTCTGCAGAAGCATGCCTGACTCATGATGTCGTTTGCTACACCTTGCCCACGCTCGTAGGAGGTTCGTTGGCACAGTTTGCTGAACAACATCTGCCTCTGCCCTGAACAGAATCAGAACATAGGCCGAAGATCCTGGTCCAGGCTCTGAGCAAATATTAGCCAAGGCCCCATGTGTCGGTGAAACTTCATCGCACAGCATCTGAGCAACATCGTGTGCAGCCCGCCAGGTCCCTTCGGCACAGGCGGAGAGGCAAGCTCCAAATGCGAAATTCGATTACGGCTTCGGGGGTCAACGTCGGGGAATTAGGAAGCAGATGTCGGGTTTCTTCTTCCCTGTAAGATTACGGCTTCGGGGGGTCAATTGGTTGTGTTAAAGACGACGTAGGGAAAGACAGCTTTTGGGCTAGGCAGGAGTCCTAAATGCTTGCACTGTGGCAGACTGGAGGGCTGGCGTTTTCGGAGGGCGCGGTACACGAATCGGGGTTTCAGGGTGTGTTGGCTTGGGCGGATTCAGGTCCCGGGATGTGTAGCTTGCAAGGTAGGACCGAGTGTTGTCCAGGACATAATAAGCTGTGTTGGGGATTCTTCTTGCAGGGTTTTTTTCCATCTCCACTTCCGGTCGACACTTCCTCTTCCCTGCTGAACGGCTCCTCCGGTTTCAGTGCTCCCGCTCCGGGCTTAACAATGCTCGTGCCAACGATCGCAGCTTCCAACTTGGGGGCAGGTCCCATCTTGGCCCGCTGCTGACTTCCTGCGTAAGGCAATGCGGCCACTGCAGTGCCACGCCCTATTAAGATAGCACTCCTAAAGTCCTAAAGTACTCAAATGAGTTCCGCTTAGAGCCTTGCATGCTTATTTACAATGTGGCTGCTTGGGGTCTTAGCCTACTTCGCCTTGTCCTAGTGTCGATGTGACTTGAACCCGAGTGTTCCATCAGAGACAGCATGCCGTCATGCATGGCCGCCTCCTCACGCTCCCCATCCAGTGCAAGAGAACCCGATGATGTATAGTTAGCTTCAAGTGGCGTAGCAACATCGCTTTAAGCCACATCCGAACTGGAGATTCTTGCATTCTGTTCCCGGACACGATGATTCACCGGATCCACGATGCGGAACCTGCGCAGCCAAAATCCTGCTAAGGTAATGTATGCTCGATTCCCTTCCAGCCTACTCTGAGCTCAACTGTAACAGCGATGACATACATGGGGCTGAGTGCTTGCTCTGAGTCCCGCTTCAACTCGCCCTGACCAGCCCGAAGGTTGAAGCCCTGACAGCCTCGGAAAAGCCCTGCAAGCCGTGGACCTTGTCCAAGCCCCGAGGCGCGGACGCTGCACTGACGCCACAGTCATCTGGGCACGAGGAGAGCTGATTGGGGCTTCTGGTTGTGTTTCCCCATGTGCTTGAGCTGATGTGCGCTTTCTAGCTTTTGCTCTCCCATCAAGCTAGCAGCACCCTGGCGCAATGACAGCGACGAAGAAGCGTGCCGTTGGAAAGCAGGCAGAGCCACAGCCTGTCGGCACCATTGTGCCAGTGAACAACCCAACTTTGCTGAAGATTGCAGAAGGGATGAAGCTGCTGGTCTCATGTTCTTGTAGGTTTGCATTGACAGATGTGAGAAGCAATAGACCCATGATGTTTCAGCAAAGGCTCCCCCATGTCGTGGAATTCATGAAGAACATCAGCCCGGCAACACCAGCGGGAGGAATCCAGGAGTTCAGCCTGGACGATTACAGGGCGAGCATGAAAAGCGTGCAAAACTACACATGTGTGGTGCCTGTGACGGCGATTCCTCCTTATGCAACGGTGCACAGCGGCCTCATCCCCAGCCTCGCGTCCATCAAGAATGTCCAGGACACTTTCTGGTCAGAGGAAGGCCCGGGCGCATGTTTTGATGCAGTCAAGCATGATCGCTGTTTGTTTGGCGTCAGTTAAGACTTGAATTACCAAGGACAGCTGATGTTCTCAGAGAGCATCAGTGTGGTGGCTTGGAGCGCGAATGAGCGCCCGGGCGAGAAGGAGTTGGTTCCTTTGGACAAGGACAGCTACAGGATGGGGTTCTGGTTTTCGCTCTTCGAAGCGGAGTCGCCGAATCGCCTGGACGCCTTGAGATCCATCTCCGGCTCCATGCGTGTGACCTTCGTTCTGGTTAGTTCACGAGAAGACATGGAACGCAAGAGGTGGAAGCTCAGCTCTTCGAGCTCGGCTTTGGCCGAGAACATGGTTTTGCTTGGGTACAAAAGGCTCCTGGCCATTTATGACCTGAAAGAATCCTTGAAGAGCTGGGGGAAGGACGCCAGTGACCGCGCTGCTGCTTGCCATGAGTTCCATCCCGAACCCCTGTTGCCGCCATGATTGTTTCGAGAGATGTGTTTTTCTGGGGAACGTAAGGTTTCTGCCTGGCTGGAACGTGAGAAGATCTACATGAAGGAGAGCGTCATCGCATCCATCTGCAGGATTCGAAAAAGGATGGCCGAGGCCAAGGCCGACATTGTCATGGATCAGGTAGAAGAGATCTTGAAGGTTGTGGATCATCCGTTGGCCAAAACCGGCACTTTGGAGAAGCTGACCAGCATGACCAAGCTGGCCAACGCTCCCCTGCAGAACGAACTGCTGCTGTTTGTCGTGTCCGCACTCATGGTCCTCTTCAGGCGAGGGGCTGGGGTTGGATAAAGTTGGTAACGCTGCCATTATTGGCCATTGAATGCTGTGATCAGCCAGGTCCAAGACTCTCGGCCTGGAGGCGACTCGCGAGACGCTGGTGCAGCACGCTCGAGCGGCTCTGCTGGCCAGGAGGATCATCAACTACATGCTGATGAAGCTGAAGCCGCCCGGCCCCGCGGAGGAGAATCCCAGAAGCCCTGCCGGTTTCCACAAGAACTTCCTGTCCTTCGAGAACTTTGAGTCCAGTCGGTTGGCGGACGAGTGCTCCGATCACACGTGGCTGGCAGGGCTGTATGGCTACCAGCGCGAGGCCCTCCCACAGCTCAAGCAGTTCCTTGTGGGAGATTTGCAGATCTACAGCGTGCTCATCAAGCTGTGTGACAATGATCCCCTGGTTCCAGCCGAAGTTGCCCTACAGCAAACGTCTGTCATGAAGCTGGTGACTTTGAAGGAGCTCCTGGACATGCGTGAGCCACTTTGCTGTGCATGTGATCGATGCGCGAGTCCCTCCTCCTGACGTGTTCATGTGCAACTCAGGAAGGAGCTTCGCCCTCCAGAAGATGAGCCCGCGCCTCCATCTGAGCCTGCAGAGCCTGCGCCGGTGACCATCGAAGAGCCGGAGAAGAAGGCAGAGGAGGCAGGCATCATCCAGGAGCAAGAGGAGATTCCCCCCGCCGCTGAAGCTGCCCTTCAACATGCATGCATGCCCTTTGTTTCTGTTCCTGAGTCATGTCTCACTACGTCTGTGCAAGGTCATGGACGAGGAAGCGCGGGCTCCCATCCCTGAGCCAGACAATCGGGCCATGTTTCCATCGGTGATTGTCGCCGATTTCCAGTTGGACCTGCTGAAGCAGATGGAGGCCCCGACCTTGGCGAAGATGAAGACGTATGCGGACATGCGTCGGAAACTTAGCGCCCTCCAGACAGAGTGGAAGATATTCTGTGCCATGTGGCCAAGAGCACATACGTTTCTTGTCAGGCAGGGCCACCTATGTGAATCTCTCCATCGTCGGCAACAACATCACCTCCATCAAGGCGTCTGGGTTGTGCTTCGCCTTCTTTACTCACCACACATACATGGTTTCAACCACAACCCAGGGCGCGCTGATGGAGGCGGCGGCAGGCTGGCCGGCTGGGCGGCGGATTCTTGGCATTCTTCTGGTTGGCTCAAAGTTTAAATATTAGGAGGGGTTCAGAAGTTAGCCAAGGATCTTCCATCTTGACGGGAAGTGCTTTGGGGGGCTCAGTGCTAGCGCTGCAGCCCCCATGAACTTCTATCGCCAGTACTTGGCCTTCTTGTTCGACCCGGACAGCGGCGCCTTCAGAGAGGAGGACCTTCTCATCGTGTCGCCAGGGAACTCGCAAAAGGCCTACGAGGCGGCGAAGCGCGACTCTTTGCGTGCTTCTGAAGACTTTACCTTTTCCGGTTTTTTAAAGACTAGGAGGGGTTCAGAAGTCAGCAAAGGAGCTCTGGCGACATATGAAGGCGTCTCCCATCGTTTGTCAGCGGCGAGGCCTCCAGCAGATCCGGCTGATGAACACGAACAAGGAGTACCGCAACCCCCATCACCCTGTTGGCAAGCAGCGTCTTGGCCTTCTTCTGGTTGTCTCAGAGTCTCAGGACTTCAACTTCTTTGGCTTTCTATATGAGCTACAGGAAGGGTTCAGAGTCAGCCAAGGCGCCTTCGCGGCAGTTTCCCTGACCCGCTGGAAACAGTGTTGCTGCTGAAAGGCAAGCAATGCACGCTTCCATCCAGGGAAAGGAAGCACTTGGACTTGCCCGGCTGCAGCAAGGACAGTGGCATCGCCAACCTGTGCCTGGGCTGGTTTTGTTGTGTCGCATCTGTAGCGTGGATGTGTGGCACAGTTCAGCATATGCACTGTCATGGGATCGGTGAGCGAACGAGGCGCATGAAGACTGTGGACGAGATGGCGCTGCTGGTCCGCAAGTCCGTCTGGGAGGAGAACTTCTCCAAGGTGCTGGCGGCAAGCACTGATGAGGGCGGCGACGAGGAGGCCCAGGCCACTGATACCGCTGCAGAGCCCGTGCTGGAGGGACCGACCGAGGAGGTCGTGCAGTTTTGCCTTTTCGAGAGACCTGAGATGGTCTGCAGGGAATGGATCAATCTTTTTGGAGAGGAACGCTCACCGCACACTTCGGTGCAGAAGCAATCCTCCATCATGATCGACTTCTCCCCGGGAGCTGGTTCCATGGCACTGGCTTGTGCCAGAGATTTACATGTCTACTATGGACTGCTCCTTAGCTGCAGCTTCTGTTCTACTCCAAGTCGTTGAAGACGATTTATCTTGGAGACTTCTGTTTGCCAGGTGCTTCACAGCGTCGCAGCGGGATGTGATCTTTGACTCCATCCGCCTGACAATCATGCTGGAGTTGATCATGAACAAAAGGAATGGGTTTTCTACAAGCCGCTTCCTTTCCAGGGAGCGCTCCCTGGGCGGAACCAGTGCAACGGCTTCCATGACTTCGCCGGCAGACACTGATTCCAAGGCACGGTCTTGGACAAACTGACCGTTGAATACTGCAAATGTCCCGTCCCAGGCCGCCGCTGACAAGTCGAGTCCAGCAAAGACTGAGAAGAGCAAGACTGAGAAGAAGCGCAAGACATCCTCATCTGATTCAGACTCTTTGTCAGAGACTGAGGATTAGGCTGAAGCAAAACCCTTCAGCCCCCAAAACCTGGATCATTGAAGAGATCCCAGGTGCTTTTTGAATCACTGGCAGCTGGCATGTGCCTAGCCTTCGCCAGCTTTTCCGCTTAGCAGACAGCACTTCACGGAACCATGCGCCTTATGTGACGTGTTGCCCGGAGGCTCCCAACGCCCCTTCATTGACGGAATATAAACTCGAAGTCCGTTTCAGGATCACTTGGTAATTCAAGGGGTGCTCCTGGCTTCACACAGATTTCTTTCGAGAGGCTCTGAGCTTCGAAAGCTTGGATGGATGTCTCCCTAGCTCTGGAGCAAAAATCAGAACATGAATGCCTTCTGAAGACAAGGTCTTGAAGCATGCCTGGCAAGATCGGTGGCAACACCTGCGACCACGACAGTGTTTCGCGTCCAGCCCGTTTGAAGGATCGAAGGCTGTTGGATGCTGTGCATAGGGCATAGGGATGCGAGCAGTGTGTGAAGCCATTGTGCACAAGTTCGGCCGCACATTGATGGAAGTGCCAGGCTCAATTGCGTGTCCTGTTGCTTTCCTCTGTGACGTTGGTGTAAAACTCGCACTTGCGCGTGGATCCTGAGGCACCGAACGTGGCAAGCTATGTTCCTGACACTGTGAACATCCCCCAAATGCTGGATCGCGAGGAGAAGTTGGGCATCAGTGTGACAGACATGTGGCTCAATCAATGCCGAACTTCTGAGATGGCTCGAGTCCGCTACGAGAACCAGCGGGTGCAGCTTGCACCCCCTCAAGGCGTTCAGCACATCCTCGTCGCAGCTGAGATCGCAAAGGAGCTGCTGGACTTGCCCGACTTGATAGCAAAGTCCCAGGCGAAATTCCTTGTCCTCCTCTGCAAGAATGAGTCCATTACTTCACCGTCGAAGCTTGCTGGGTTGACATTGAAAGCATCAAGACAGTTGACCTTTCACCACGTCCCTCGCGGCGGCTTCAAAAGTTTCATTCTTTATGCGTCCGACGAGCAGCAAGACGTGACGGAGCAAATGGCGATGTACGACGAGATGGTTAGCAAGATCCTGAAAGATTTGCCTCTGCAAAAGGACAGGCTTCTGTCGAGTAGGGGTTACAAGGAGCTGAAGTGTCATGCTGAAGGAGCTTCCAGGAAGCGCAAGCGGCCAGAGGCAAATGCAGCAGGCGCCGATGACATCGATATGAAGGACAGTGAAAACAAGAAGAAGAAGAAGGACGACGGGAATGACGTGGAACAGGGTGACAGCAAGGATGAGGACGGTGTTGACAAGGAAAAGCAAGCCTTGGAGAAACTCATCGGCTCTGTTCTTCCTGCAACATGTCGGAATTTGCAAGTTTTTCTTGGGCGCTTAGTAAGGTAGTCTGGTTTGGAAAATTCGATATGTTTTAAGGGCAAAGTAAGGCAGACTTTCATCCATCCAAGAGAGCAAGTAAGTTGCTCCGCGAGCAGCCTACCACGGCACGCCTCAACGGCTATGTGATGATGGAAGCATTGCAGCAGGACACGTCTGCTGTTTTCATGGCCTCCAGTTCCAAGCTGCTGAAGACGAGACGCATGGTTATGGAATCCAAGGAGATCTCAAACGAGCTCAAGCTTCCATCCCTTGCTTGTTTTCAAGACAAGCATAAGCAAGTTAAGGTGCGAGAACTTTTGTTTGCAGATATGCTGAAGCTCAAACTGTGGCAGCCTGATTTCTTGAACGTTTCCTTTCTGAACCCTGGCCCAGCTCGCGCAGCAGTAAACCTGTTGCCGGCGAAGCCAGCAATGCTGGCAATCTTCATGTCGCTGCTAAGCACGCGTTCTGTGTACTGACCTGAAGTATTTGCCTCTGCAGCAGACTCAGCGGGATGATTTGAGGAACGGAGTGGCAGCGAGATAAAAGTGCTAACGAGTTTGCGGCAAGATACTCCATGCATTTGAGAGTCGCAGTCTTCCTCATGTGCGCCTGGGAAGGGTGAACCTATGCAGCAAGTTGCGCACATGCCCTCCTAGAGCTTGCAAGCTTGGTGTGAACATGCCGCACCCCGTCCGTACTTCAATCACGACCAGGACAGCTGGATGCAGCACAATGGCTTGGGCCTCAGTGACAACCAGTTAGGTCATGTATGTCCGGCAGCTCTGCTGGTGTGGTTTGGTTTTGAAGTTCATCTGGGTAAGTGCCAACTTGGTGTGCAGGTGGTTATTTCTTACGGAGATTGCCTTGTGGTAGCATTGACATTTCGCGTACAATCGCACAGGCTTTTCAGGGTTGAAGAAGGGCTTAGGGGTGTAGGTAACATGCACGATAGCCAGGGCGGCTGGGTCGGGGCGGTGAAGCCATCATTCACAATTCAATACTGAGCTCAGCTCCCAGATCCGGCTACGTACGAGCGTCGCACATGTATCCGAGGAAACCACGGCTCCGAAACAGCAGAACCTTCGGTGAGAACGTTCGAACGAATGCTTCAGCTTCACATACTAGCTTTCCCATGGAAGAAATAGGGTCTATTGGGTTCAGGGTAAAGGGTTTGCTGCAGAGTTCGCCAAGAGTGACAGTGAGCGACTGCCCTTGCAAGGCTCGGTGGTCTGCGGGTGACAAAGCCTGAAGCCCGGTGTTTGGGGCAGGTTGCCTTCGGTCTTTCCCTGACCCACCGGTCATAGTACATGGGGTGACTCGATAGGTGGCAGGCTTCTTCTAAAGGGATACTTGTTGCGGTACAAGCTTGCACATGACAACCGAATTAAATAAGAACGTCGGCGAATATCCGAACTCTTGGTTCAGCTCCCTGGGTTCATTCATTGCAACCCGGCACTTTGCAGTAGATTCCCGCTCGAGGCTGTAGAGGTTTGCTTCAGAAGAGTTCGGTTGAGCGAATTTCGGGGGAAATGCATCCCTGCCCAAACCCAAATCCGGCTTCAGGGCTCCCTCAGTGTAGGCTCCGGGCAGAAGACACACACATGCCGTGATGCTCACATGCCTTTCTTCGATCGCATGAGCAGCTGAAATGTCGCGCTTGCAGTGGTGCCAGCAAGGGAAGCCACCTAGAAGAAGTTTTGTAGAGACCATTCCATCAGAGATTTGTTGACTGAAGACTGTGTTTGTGTGCTACAGTGTGTTTGTAAGTAGAGTTCCATGGCACAGACAAGGTCATCATAAAACTGGACAGATAATTTTTTTATATTATCAGATAGTACTAGGCATGGCTGCCGGTGCCCGGGACGACGAGAGGTTACTTGTAGACTTGGGGAGGCCGCAACCTGCAATCTGGGCTGCTGACCACGGGCTTACTCTTGCAGTATCTTAGTTCTTGGAGCAAGGCTGTTTTTGAATTTATTTGCTGGTCGAAATTGGGTAGAGTTGAACAGCATGGTACTGCTTTCAGGTAGCAGCTCCCAAACCTGCGAATGCAGCGGGTGAGAGACAAGACAGCGACGCGGATCATTGGCGAAGTTGCCAGACCCAGAGTTCTTGCTGTAGATGCGCTTTCGAAGCAGGCATGGCAGGAATGCTGCGGAAAGGAGCTGCGAGCTTTGGGGAGCCAAGGGCGATAAACAGTTGGGCAGAGCGGTTCACATTCATCCATCCGACCGCCGGTCGCAAGACCTGGCTAGTGGCGAGGCCTTCATCATGGGGCGCTTCGTTTGCCATGGGCTGCTGGGTCTGCTGTCATTTCGAACCTCCAAAATACCGATCAACCTTCGGGCGGCTCGAAGTTGCTTCAAGGACCTTTGCCATGCATCAAGAAAGTTTTCTCGTAGCAGTATGGCCTATATGTTTGGATGGACTTCGGTGAACAAAGGAATACACTTGGACCATCTTCGTTTGCAAAGCATGAAGCCAGTGCGTCACATCTGAAAGCATTGGAGGCAATGAAAAATCACTTCAGCGGCGAGCCCGCTGATGAGGGACTGCTTACTGGAGTTTCGGAAGCTGTGCCCCGCATCGACAGGTTCTTCATGGCAGGGCTCGTCGTGGCACGCCATGACTCTTTTGCCGATTACACTGAGTACATGAGATCTTTGCGCTTGGTTTCCCCCTTGCCGATGGGAGAACAGGCTGGCGACATCAGCAAACAGACCTGTGCAAGGTTGGTGGTATCGATGGCGCGACCTTTGTACGATCACGACGTTGCTGTGCTGAGAAAGTCGACCATGGCGTCCATAGCCTATGACGTCAGGGACGACCTGATGTTAGTCATAGGAAGAGTGTTCTTTGAAGGATTGAATAGTCCCCATCTTCCGCGTGTTGGGGTGTACGAGTTCCTGGTCGGTTGTCAGCGCGTGGGCGGGACTGGTGGATCTCGTGGAAGCGCGGCATCAGTGGAAAGAATCTGCAAGGACCTTTGCCGAACACCTCATGGCAGGGAGCTACGCTTGGATGAAGATCTTTGGGCACACTTTCAGGCAGGAGGGAATCAAACGCACGCAGACGATCCAGTCAAATGTAGCAGGTATCAACATTATAGAATCTAAGAAGGCAGACTTCATTAAGGAGCGTTTGCTGGTACTTTGGCAGGCGATTGTCACAAGTGGAGTCTCCGACGGAGGCCCCAGCGAGCAGGGAGCACTACCCATCTTGCAGAGCCTCGGTTTTGCGTTCTTGGGCACTTGCCTATCCAAGTTGTAGATCAGATGACCGACTTCTTGAACCCAAACTAAAAGCACCCGCTCTGGCCAGGAACGAAGTCTTCAGCAACATGAACCTCATCTCCCGGGATCGGGCTCACCGGTCCAGGAGCGTCATAAAGAATTTGTTCGACGCCCTCAACAGCTTGTGTGACAATCTTTTGTCTGCCTTTACAACGGGCGAGCAATCCTTGGCGAGGATGTTGAAGAGCCTAGCTTGCAGCTAGCATACTGTAGTATGCCATGCAAGCCTCCCCATTTCTAAGCGTTCTCAGTGAATTCTCTGACCGTTTAGTACTGTGCCAGGAACTCAGCCAAATACTCCAACATCTTTCAGGCGGAGCAAGCCCAGTCTTTTCGCAAAGCGGTCAAGAATATGTCCTTCGCTTTGCAAAGGTTCGACTCGCTGTCCGAGCCACTTTTCAAAATTTTTCTCCATTTCCCATCAGTCCTGCGCTTTCTGGGGGCTCTCACAAGAGACGGCGACCCGGAGGATGCACGCTGGTCAAGAAGGCTATTGACGCAGGTCACGGGCCTGCAGGGCTTTCGAAAGCTGATGACGGCAGCTCTGGCATCTGATGCTTTGATGATGGCTCAACGTTTTCTTCGGCAGGATGATCGTGCGGACACGGAAGTGTTCTTGAAGCTTGGGGAGGCCAGGTATACAACAAAGCTTGAAGGCTCGTGGGTGGTAGCAGTACTTACTTCGTGTAGCGTAATGCAGGTGCTGGAGCTTTTGCACAGCGTGGAGATCATGTTTGCCGACCACTGCATTTTTGATGCTGTTCAAGCACCTGACACTGTGACACAACGAACTCTGCGCATGTTGAACGAGCTGGGTACCATCCCTTTTCGGGAAGGGGGCAAGGACCGAGTCTGCAGCATTCCAGTCGGCGAGACTGCGGAGCTCCATGATGTGGCGAAGCAGATACATGAGCTTTTTTCAGCTTTCGTGAATACGAACTTTCCAGGTTATGAACAAATGAACGCCTTTGCAGCCTTGCGACTGGATAGAACGCTTTCGTGGAAGCAGCGTCAAACGCTGATGTCGACACTTGCAATGTTGTTACAATGTTCAGCAGAGGACCTATGGCAGCTTAGCGTGATTCATTGTGCGGTTTCGGGCAAAGGGGTGTGGATTTCGAGTTCGGGCTTGGGGCTTCTTGGCCAAACTTTTGTTTAATTTGCGGCCGAGGAAGCAATTGGTTGGACCTTCAACGGCCGCAGGCTCCGAACCCTCATCAGGCATCTTCGCAAGGGCGCTGTGGTTCTTTAAGAACTTTGCTACGGCTGGCAATGTTCCCGGGATGCAGCGCATGCTGGACCAGTACGGCGCTTCGTCTGCGGCCTGGATCCGTACTCTGGGAGACATGACACCGCAGCAACGGCGAGATCGACCACTCGCTGTCCAGCTTATCATCAAGGCGCTGACGGTGCAGTGCGGCACCCAAAGCGTGGAGCGGTACCTGGGCGAGGTGCGTTTGGCAGAGCTGAAGCACCGCGCACGAGCCCTCGGAGCTGACACTTTAGAATCATCCGTGAAGCTGAATGTGCAGGATTTCACTGGCCGTCAACCAGGAAAAGCGTTTAATCCCGATTCGCTCTTCCGCTCAGCTGCTGAGAGTATTGAGAAAGGCGTTCGGTATAGAGCAAGCAACTTTGGCTTGCAATGCCAAAACGCCTATCGACGGCTCTATGGCGAGAAGCAAGACCCCGGCAGAAGTCTTCTTCCATCAAGTGCCCGGGGTTCAGATCATCATGAGGGCAAACCCAAACTCACTCGGGTGCGTAAGACTGCTGGACCTGCGATGGAAACTCTCAAGCAGGCAAAAGACATGCATACCAAGTCGGTGAGCCAAGCTGTCGCAGCTGCTAGCAAAGACACATCTGCTGCTTTGGGAGCCGTGGTTCAGGCACATGCGGATGTTGCAAGGGCCAGGTTGGATGCAAGCACGAGTGCAAGCAGCAAGCGCGCGCAACCAGATGATGGGTTGGATGTGAGCACTGCGCCACCTGAGACCCCTGCCCAATGACATAATATTATTTTAAGTTTTGAAGTTCTCTTGCAGTGTGTCGGATTTGCTGCAGTCTTGGAAGTAGATGAACCATTATTTATGGTTTTCTAAGTTTGGCTAGCTGGGGTCAGGAAGAAACTGTGTACTGTCGGCGACATCTTGAATGAGCAGTCTGCTTTGCAGCAGAAGAACCGTCAGTTGGTGCAGAGTTTGCCTTCTCAGGAGCCAGTGCCTTATGTCGATGGTGCTGGTCGGCAGTACAGGTATAAACTTCCATCTGCTCCGAAAACCAGTCTCCTGGCTCCGCCGCTTCCAGAGAAAATTCGCTTCATCTGCGATGCCGCTGTTCGTTTGCCAGTGTGGCGCCGGTATATTCTGGCCGGCTCTGCCGAAGATGCCCATGCAGCACTGGTGGAGGATCTGTCCGCTTCCTTGTACAGCCCAGTGGCTCTGCTGGCAAGGTTGCACGGATTGCGGCTTGTGGACAAAGTGTGGGTCAGATCCAAGATGAGAGAAGGCAATGCCCTGTGCTTTGGACCCGCGCTCCAGATGCATTTATATCTCTATCTTGCTGATTCTTTCTTTGAGAAGCATCCTGAGCATGCCTCTATCTTGATGGCGCATGGTGCTCAGCAGCGCTTGGTGGTTCGGAGAGGCATCCCTCCATCGCCGCCGAGACATCCGAGGCTGACGTTTCTTGTTACTGCTGCGTCTGCATCCAGCAGCAGCAGCAGTGCAATTGCAGAGCTTGATCTGGAAGCTTTGCTTGAGAAGTTGACCTCGCTGATGCAGCCACGCTCCGCCGAGTGAGCAGTTCAGTTGCAGAGCTTGATCTGGAAGCTTTGCTGATGCAGCCGCGCTCCCCATCGAGCAGTTCAGTTGCAGAGCTTGATCTGGAGGCTTTGCTGATGCAGCCGCGCTCCCCGTCGAGCAGTTCAGTTGCAGAGCTTGATCTGGAAGCTTTGCTGATGCAGCCGCGCTCCCCATCGAGCAGTTCGGTTGCAGAGCTTGATCTGGAAGCTTGGCTAATGCAGCCGCGCTCACCCATCGAGCAGTTCAGTTGCAGAGCTCGATTTGGAAGCTTTGCTTTAGAAGTTGAGCTCGCTGATGCAGCCACGCTCCGCCGAGTGAAAGCTTAAAAAGCAGTCTCCAGAGCGGTGCAATGCAAGTGACGACCCAGACCTGTTGTGTCTAGCTATCTCGCGTTCTGTGTTGCCGAGGCCTGGCCATCTCCTCTGGCTGGAGCAGCAGCAGCAGCAGCAGCTGCGGCAGCTGCAGAAGCAACATTGCTATTAACCTATAAGTAGGAAGTAAATAAGTAATAAGGGATAAACGGAGAAAAAAGTTAAACCTGTTGGCCCCCCCCAGAAGAACACCAAGTTTAGATTGAAGGCTCAGGGGTTTGGAGTTTGGGGTTTAGTGTTGAGGTATCTGGCCTAGGGCCCCTCGGTCCGCCAGGACGTCCTTGATGATGCCTTGGCAGCCGTGCTCTCAAAGAGGCCCAAGTGTCGGAACCTGATGAAAAACCAGGGGTCTTTATTATATTGTCAAAGGGGAAAAGGAGAGACCCTGCTACCCTATAATGGGCTATATAATGGGTATATAATAGCTATAATAAGGGTGTATCCCTAGGGGTCCTTATGAAGGGTCCCTCCTATTACCCTTGGATATTAGGCTTTCATTTGAATCCTTCCAGATTGGGTTATAGGGCCAGGGTCTCTTAATCAGGTTCTACAGTATACCGTAACCCCTAAACTTTAGAGGCCCTAAACCCTCAAGAGTCTGTAACCCTCACCCCAAGACAACTGCAAACGCCCATAGTACAGGGGTCGAAGCAATTGGCAATAGTATCCGCTTATAAGTCCTAGATCCCAACCCGTTCGGGTGTACACGAACCTTAACCCGTTCAAGAGACCTTGCACCTGCTTATCTACCTTTTGAAGGAACCCGTCAAACAACATCATACAACCCTTGCAGGAGCCCTTAGACCCCTGAGCCGTAAACTTAAACCGTAAACTTTAGACGCCTGGAAGCCCTTCACCCCGAACCCAAACCATTAAAGGAACCCCTAAAGGAACCTCTATAACGGAACCCTGACAGGAGCCCCCTAAAGAAGCAGCTGAAATACTGAGCCCAAGCTCGGTGCAGTTCGCTGCCAGCGGACGCCCGCTTCACCTTCGCCCAGCTGCTCACGGCGCTGAGGCGACTGGTCGTGAGGTGTTTGGGGTTTGCGTGTTGCAGAAAAGGTTTGATTTTTTTCTGGGTCCATGAAGGCTTGTAAAAACTCATAGGGCTTTGACATGTCTCTACACGTGTTTATAGCCTTTGCCAGGGCCTTAATGTGTATATACATATATAGGTTTATATATCTATATATGGTGCTTTTGTTTATGCATATCCTTGGACCTGCAGCCTGAGAAATGCTAGCGAAGCCTTACACTCTCAAACTCATGGGAGACCCCTCTCCAGACGTCTTTGGAGTTTAGAAGGAGGATCCTACTCTTTAGGGTCCGGTTCATGGGTCCTCGCCCCATCTTATCAAGCCTCTATTTAGGGTTGAGCGTCTGTAGATCTGAAAATGTAGTATGGGGACTTCAATAACTCCAGTATATACTTAGGCTCTGAAACGGGGGCTCTATATAGGTACGTTGAGGTGTATACGATGGGTACATGGAGCCTTAGGGGTTCAACAGGGCTTAGGTGTTGAGGGTTCCATAGCACGTTCATGTGAGAACACCCTTCCCCACCTTACTGTACTCGTTCATGTCTCTATACTCACGAATCCGAAGCCCTAAACCCGAGAACCTGAACCCAAAACCCTAACTCCGAAGTATACAGGATCCTGAAGAAGGACAAGGACAACATCAGCGCCGCAGCGCAGCTATGCTCGCAGAAATTCGTTTCAGGAATGTAGAGCCTCGGGTTGAACGGTTTAGGGGTTTCTGGTTTTGTGGTTTAGGGTTTAGGGTTTAAGGGTTTAGGGGTTTAGGGTTTAGGGTTTAAGGGTTTAGGGGTTTAGGGTTTAGGGGTTAAGGGTTTAGGGGTTTAGGGGTTCAGGGTTTAGGGCTTCGGATAGGTTTTAGGTGTGAACGCCGGGCGTGCGTCCTGTATGTTCTCTACCATTTCGTGGGCAGGGTGGGGGGGCTGCTTTCGGCCAGTCCCGACCCTAAGATTCCCGACCCTAAGTTTCTTCCCACAGACCGTCAGAACTCCACATGGGCTTCTTGCAACACACCTCGTGAAGTCCAAACCCTAAACCCGTAAACCCTAAACTCTAACCCTAAACTCCACATCATTGAAGCTTCTGCAGCTTGCGCCCAAGTTCCGACCCAAAGCTTGCTGCCACAGACCTTCAGAAGTCACACAGGCGCGACTTGTAGCTTCCTGCAACACACCTGCAGAATTGAACTACACACCTTTTAGAACTCTGCATCATGTCAGCGTGCTGAAGCTTGTGGAGGGGAGCAGCGCTGACTTTCTGCATCTTTCGACTATCTTTCGCAGGCAGGCCCCAAAACCCGCAGCTGTAGTTGTGGTCGAACCCTTGTCCGCGCAAGCTCATGTGCATGTTGGAGAATTGTCTTTCCTGATCATTCTGCGGGAGCAAGGGGCATTCCTTTGCGAAGTGTTCTTTCAACGAGCTGGAGAGGGTTCCGTCCCTGTCGGCCCGGCCCGGCTGTTTGGTTTCTCGGATATGGCAGTACATGTGCCAGTTCCAGTCCAGCCGGTTGCACACATGTGTACGGAGCTCTTGCAACACTTTGCAAAGCCGTCCTTACCTTTTAGAGGTCTCCTGGGTCTTCCGTTCTGCACCCGGGACGGAGCGAGCTAAATCCCAAAATTTGCTGTAAAGCTAATCATATTTCCATGTATCTCCCGCATTATAGAACTCTTATAGACCCTATTGAAAGCTTCGAACCTTAAACCAGAAACCTTAATCCCCAAGCCTTGGGATGGGATCTTATGCTTAGTAGAGCTTGGGGAGCCTGAACCTAAAATCCCAAGTTCCTCAGCCATGTGATAGACGTACAGGTATACAGATATGACGATGTACATGTATAACGCAAATGTATGTAATGTATGTAATGTATGTAATATATGTAATGTATGTAATGTATGTAATGTATGTAGTGTATGTAGTGTTCAAAATGCATGTACTGTATGTAATGTAAGTAATGTGTGTAATGTATGTAACATGTGCAGTGTGTGTGTGTATTGTGTGTAATGTATGTAATGCACGTAATGTGTGTAATCTATGTAATGTATGTAGTGTATGTAGGGTATGTAATGTATGCAATGTATGTAATGCATGTAATGTACGCAATGTGTTCCTGTCTGTCTGTCTGTATGCATGTAGGTCTGTATGTATGTGTGTGTGTGTGTGTGTGTGTGTATGTGTGTATGCGTGTGTGAGTGTATGTGTATGTGTGTGTGTGTTGGACAGGCAGGTATATGGATATAACTGTCTAGAGATGTAAAGCTATACGAATATATCGATATACATATATATGTTTTTGCATATACAGAACTGGAAGCCTAAACCCTCAACTTTATTGGGGCCTTTTTTCTCAAGGCTGGGGCCCTTTCTCCCAAGGCTGGCGGAAGCTTTGCTCGGTGTCTCCACCGAGGACGGGCTTGACATGGGCCGCCTACAGGAGGCCGTCGTGACCATGTACGTAGTAGCGTTAGGGGCTCGAGTTTCGGGTTTGGCTGCTCAGGGAGTTGAGGCTGCTCTCGTACTTCCGTGTAGAACTGTCGCACTCTCGTTCCTCAAGGATCCGTGCTGATTAGTTCTACGGCCAGTATCAGATACCTCGCTTCTTGGGAATGTTGTCAAGCATGCAGTCGGGTTTACTCGGGAATACAAGCAGTTTAGAACATAGCCAGATAAGGAAACCTTTGGATCTACATCCAGAGTATTTTTCGGCTCTGTTTGATGAACCCGCTTCGTGTATGCGATGTCGGAAGGTTTATTGCGGGCAAGATTTTGGTATCGAGGGATTTCGGCCTGCCACCCTACTCTCCGAAAAGCTTCGTTAAGTTTTATGGTTACCTCTTGGGCTCTGGGGGTTTGTTGCGGTTAGCATTCTGGGCTCGGGAGTTTGGGGTCGCTCTAGGGCTTTATAGTTGAGGGCTTTGAGCGTTGGTGGTCATGTATACCCTGAGTATATATCAACACACATGTGTGTGTTTGTGTATGTATATGTATATGTAGATGCATATGCATATGCATATGTATATGTATATGTATATACATATGCATATGTATATTCATATTCATATATATATATATAATATGTACGTATGTATGTATGTATGTATGTATATATATACATATGTATATGTACATGTCTATGTATATGTATATGTAAATGTATATGTGTATGTGGCTTTCATATAGGTACAACACGTAATATTGTATTACATATTATGTATGTACAACACGCAATACTGTTTCATATTACATAATTTCGCAAAGTACAACAGGCTAAAATACAACACATTCGAGCAGTATATAATGCAATTTTGTTCAATAAGATACTGTACTTGGAGGGGCAGGGGACTTAGTAAGTATGGTTATAAGTAGACTTTTGAGTACCCTAAATGGAGTTACCCCAAGTATAACCCTACTTATAACCCTACTTTCTAAGTCCCCTGCCCCTCCAAGTAACGTAGCGTAGCATAGCGCAAAAAAGGTAATTTTAACATACTTAAACATAATACAGTATGTCATAGCAAAACTCATGTGCTATACTTTAATGTAACATACTACACTCTAAAATAGCCTGACGAGATAGTATCAATAATTA